ACTCCAACAGCCTCACATATTATTGTATACCTCACAGCTGAAGCATTGAATCCCGGGCCACGACAAGCTAATGCATTCAAAAACCCTTCGCAACCAACAGTTCAAGGCAACCTTAAGGGACGAAAAGACCCCTAAAAGGGTTTAGGGTTCATATACCAAGGGATTCATAGTATATGGGTATGGGGCCCCTACTTTTAAGGGTTCTTTGGTCCTCAAGGAATAAGCCGCGCGAGCCTCAATTGAACCCGGGAAACCATCGAAATCCGCATGAATGAAGCAGCAGCAAACCCTAGACCTTAAGCCTCTGTAGCATAAACTGGGTTTTAGAGTACCATACTTGAATACTTTTTTTTTGACCTGTTCCTTAAAGGAACCATTATAAATTAAAAGTCTATACTTTTTTCTCCCCGGTTACTTCAAAGTCCAGCAAAAGCTGAACCCGATTTCAGGTCCAGCTACACAGCGACCCGACGGCGGTTTCACCAAGCGAGCAGTCAGATTCCTTTCGGTACAAAAAAGGAGACAGCTCAACTTTGCCTTCGGAGGGGATGTTACAGGGATTTCGAGGGTTCAGCGCATGTGTGGTTGACTCGAAAGCCAAAGTTTACGACAGCGGCTTGCGCAGGCAGGTTTGCGAGCGGACCAGGGTGCAGGCTCATAGGATTTGGCCTTGGGTGCTTGGTTTTGATTTGGCTCTTGAAACCTCTAAGGCACCAAAGCCAAAACCTTGCCGTGAACCCAATTAAACTCCAAGCAATCCGGTTTGGGGTTTAGGCTTTAGGGTTTAGGGTAGGGCCAATCGGAATTTTAGCTGCCGGCGCGTGTTGGCGAAAGCGCCAGAAATCGGTGGCATCCTGACCCGTTCATCATGCATGACTAATTCATTACAATGACAAGCCCCGCCGCAACTCCGAAACAGACACGACCCCTTGGGCTGTCAGCATGTTGCACAGGGTTACACTCCACAGAGTTTGTTGAAGTTTAGTGCTCATTGTGTTTTGTTGTTGACGGGGGAGGTCGTTTACTTTACGGATCCTACTTGTTAGGGGTTCTTGGTAGCTGAATGCCTGCACTTAAAACTCTTTGGGGTAATATAATCCCCGATAAAGCCGACAGTGTACATTTGTTTTGCTTATGGGTTGTTAGGGTGCATGTTAGAATCTCCATTTTCTTCAGAGGTTTGTAGCCTTTGTTCCTAGTTTGGAGGGGAAGTGACTAAAGGACACTAAATCCTGAAAGCAACTTTCCAAAATCGCAAAATAAAATAATTAGTTACTGTAGCTATAGTTATCTAATTTACGGAATATACCTTAAACCCTAAACCCCTAAAGCCGTATATTCCTTAAGTAAGGAATACTCGCAGGTCTGGGGACCCAACCGTCTTTTGAACAGTACAGGGGCCGCAGTGCTTAGAATGGGTGGCCCAGCAGTTTTGTATATTATATATATATATCTATATCTATGGGGCCGGAATACTTAGATTGGGGTTTTGTGATAGTTTCTGATGTGTAGATAGTAATAGACCCTCAGGAATGCAACTACATACGTTGTCACATTCATGCTTCTAGATGAAGTGCAGCATGATGAGGCCAGCGGAACTGGAAACCACCCTAAACCCTAAACCCCTAAACCTCTAAACCCGAAGCCCTAAACCTCTAAACCTCTAAACCCGAAGCCCTACACCCCTAAACCTCTAAACCCGAAGCCCTAAACCTCATCTCGGCCTTTTGTCTATTTGGGATCACAGCTTGCGCAGCTTTTCACAGGTTCCCGCAGCAGCCATCCTAGCCCCTCTGACGTCAGCCCGCGGCTCCCCCTCCAAAGTACGGTTTAAAGTTTGGGGTTTAGGGTTTTGTGGTTTAGGGTGTAGGGTTTAGGGTTTTGTGGTTTAGGGTTCAGGGTACTACTGGCAGACTGATGGTGTAGCATAACCTCAAGGGTTACAAGTGGTACTGAAAAAATACCCAGATGCCGTCCTGAGCAGCAAGAGACACTGGATCCAGGACATTTCAGGTGGGTAGTTACCGTTATAGGAGCCTTATAGAAGGTCTATATACCCTATAGAAGCCTTCTAGAAGCCCTATATACCCTTAACTCCCCACCTGTAGCTTCCTTTCATTGGAGCCCAAGAAGATCCACCTAAGCTCCTGTGTCTCTTCTTCCCAGTAGGGTATTGGGTTTAGGGTTTGGGGTTTAGGGTTTAGGGGGGGGGGTCTTTTTGCCCTAAACCCTAAACCGTAAACCCTAGACGACTTTGAGGAATGACTGTGTCACAGACGCCACGTCAACCCCGAGATCCTGAGCTCATTCCTGAACCCGTCTGGTCAGAAGGAGCAGAAGATTCGATGATCCTAAGCAATAAGCTCCTAAACCCTAAGCCTAAACTCTAAACCCTAAACCCTAAACTCTAAACCCTAAACTCTAAACTCTACACCCTAAACCCTAAACTCTAAGCGCTAAACCCTAGACTCCAAACCCTAACCCCTAAACCCTAAACCCTAAACTCTTAAACCCTAAACCCTAAGCTCTAAACCCATGACATGATCCCGGCTTGGGCTGCTTTTGGACTCTGCTGCTCCTGGCCCCCGAGCCTCCGAGCTCCGAGGTGCGGCCGTGGCAGCAGTACTGGGTCCTTCGGGTGATGATATATGCTATAGGGGCTTAGGGGCTTCGGATTTAGGGCTTAAATTTAGGCTTTAGGGTTTAGGATTTGAGGGTTTAGGGGTTTAGGGGTTTCGGGTTGTAGGGTTTAGGGTTTTAGGGTTTAGGGTTCGAGGGTTTAGGGTTTTTTGAGTTGAGGGCTTAGGGCTTGGGGTTTAGGGTTTAGCATTGCCAATACTACTGTTGATGATATGGGAGTTTCCGCAACTAAGGGGTACCTTATGTTGGGGTCCTTATAATAAGGATCCTACTACTTAGGGTACTATATTAGGGCCCCCTATTTTCGGAAACTCCCATATAAATCCTGCATTACCTTAAGGTCCCTGGTAGTAGTCCCTATTAGGGTTTAGGGTTTAGGGTTTAGGATATAAATCCTGCATTACCTGTGGGCCCCAAACTATGAGAATTGTGTTATATATTCCTTTTTATGGGTAATAAATCATATTAACTAAGCCCTAAGCCCTAAGGCCTTAAACCCTGAACCCTGAAGCCCTAAACCCTAAAGCCCTAAACCCTACAGCCCTAAACCCTAAAGCCCCAAACCCTAAACCTCCAAACTGCCCTTAAACCTTAAACCCTAAACCCTAAAGCCCTAAGCCCTAAACTCTAAAGAGACAGACGTACCCGGGATCGAGAGCCCAGAGGGTACCTTTTACGGGATGCTCAGCTTTACTTACGGGCTGAGTAGATAACCTTCTTAGCCTTTTGTGGCTTATATAATCCTACTCTAACACTCAGCCCCTAAGTTCAAGTCTTTAGACTGGATGGTCAGCCTGATCCCTTCAATCCACAAGCGCAGGGGTTTAGGGTTTAGGGTTTAGAGCAACTGCTTTGTGTGGCTCGACCCACATCGGGCACGGAGGTGACCCAGGTCGTGGAATTCATGGTCGTTGGTAGCAAAAGGCTCTTACTTATGTCCCCAGCCACCTTCAACGACACCTCAGTATTATAGGGCTCACAACTCAGGAGCTGTACAACGGTCCTTCTGTTAGTGGCGATGGATTAGGATTACTGCACGGACAGCTTGCATACCTGTCGGCATCCCGCGGAGAAGCCACTGCACCCCCCAATCCGAGCCTAGGGAGTGTCACCAAGCTGCCTGAAGTTACCATGCCCGGCAGGTTCTTCTTACGAATATAATGACGACATGCACACATATGTTCTACATAATATATATATATATACACACACATAGCTATAATGTTCATTTATAGGGGCCCATTATCCAAAGTAGGTTTGGGGAGCTCAATGTATTAATGAATCCTCTCTGAGGATTTTTCTGTTAACTCCTAAGCGATTTAGAGCTCTAAAGCTCCAGAAGACAGGGGCATGGCTATTGTGGTTACGAGTTGGGGTTCAGGCCTACCGAACTCCCGCCACCACCGAACTATATATTCCAAACCCTAAACCCTAAACCCTAAGCCCTAAAAAGAAACCCTAAACCCTAATTAGAAACCTTATACCCTGAACCCTAATTAGAAACCCTAAAAACTAAACCCTAATTAAGCCCTGAAGCATGCCCAGACCCTCGGCTTTGGATGCATTCAGGATTCGTTTCTGGAGGCTCTTGGTCGAGGATTGGTTTCTACCCATAGGCCCCTAAGTAGGTCCTTTGGGGGATCCATAAAGGTTCCAATAAGGGTTTCTATAAGGGGACCATAAGGGTTCTCTATTAGTAGTTCCTTTTGGGGATTACCTTATAGGATTCTAAATATAAACCACAAAAAGGAACTACTTAGGGGCCTATGGGTAGGGCGAGCAACTGCTGGTCGGTGTCCCCTTCTAGCCCCGAATGTAAGACCCAAAGGGTCCAAAGTACCTATATATCGGGAATGTAGGGCTTCTCTTTTAAGAATTCACGGTTTAGGGTTTAGGGTTTAGGGAATTCTTATGATGATTTGGGAAAGTATCCCCCATAACAGTACCCAGGACCCTTTGGGAGATGTATACCCCCCCTCCCCTACCCAAGCCGTCAAACTTATGGAACACTTATAGGAACCGTTGTTGTGCCCTTATGGATCCCTTCGAAATCCCTTCGAAAGGTCAGAAGGAACCTTAGTCTAACCACTCAGGCCCCGGTATATAAACCTGAAGCCCTAAAGTATTTAGGGTTTAGGGCCATTAGGGTTTATTTCAAGGCTCGGGAGCTGGCAGGTGCGTGCTATGATACAAGGAGCGTTCAATGATTTAGGGTTTAGGGATTAGGGCTTCGAGCAGGGCTTATGGGTTTTGGGCGGGGCGGGGGGGGGAAAGTCGTCATGATCCATGCTACATGTATATTGGGACTATAAGGTGCTCTTACTCGTTGATCCGACCTCCGTATTCGCTCAGAAGCCGCAATGTCGAACGTGCTTCGCCACTGGCTTGTTTGGGCCTGGCTGATACAGACCAGCGATGGCAATGCGCCACTTCTGTGGAAACCTACCTGGAACGTTTCCTTGCTGAAGGGTAGCAAGTATGGTTTTCGAGGTGATGCCCGATGTTTCCGTAGGCATCTACTGCGCGAATGGAATGAACCGGCGAACACCGAAGTCAAGATCGAACGGCGGACGAGCTGGCTGTTCCGGGATGTTTGCTGCTCGCTTGGTCGGACATCCCCGTGTTGGTATGGTCAGCTGACCTTTCAGCGGTGCTGCACGACGCAGGCACCTGCCCTCCCGCAGGGCGGATTCGGCTTGCCCATCAAGGATGTTTGGGATTTTCGAAAGGAGTCTGCGTGCTGGCCATCTCCGATACTCACGGCGACATGCTGCAGATTGACTCTCCCACAAATGTGCGCCTCCGATGCATGGGGCAAGGACCCCTGGGCGCTCATGAAGAGCTGCTGCAAGAAGCCGGGCCTAGATGTTAGAGCACATCTTTTGCCAGAGCCTCTTCTTAAGGGCTGTCACTAGGTTCTTGAGTAGTACCCTTTTGCCCTTTTTCTTGTATGGTTCCCTTAGTTCCCTTGTTAACAACTCAATAACAGGAACAAGGGTGCTCTTATTATCAAGGGGTATCAAGGGGTCACTCAGGAACCTAAACCCTAAAACCCTAAACCCTAAACCCTAAAACCCTAAAACCCTAAACCCCTAAACCCTAAACCCTCCTAGGTCATCAGAGGCTCTACTATGAAGAGTCCTTCTTGCAGCTCCAGGGCTACTGCCTCGGAGTGCCCCGGTTTCGGCCAGACCAGCTGGGCCGCTACGTGGCTTACTATCACCGCACTGGGGATGCGCTGCCCACCATGCTGGAAATCCAAACAGGCTTCTAGGCTCATATGTTCTTTTGTGGGGCTCCCTTATTAAAAACCCAAACAGCAGGAGTAACCTTATTATCAAGGGCTAGTAATATAGGGGCCTTAATTGGAGCATTGGAATAGGGTTTGGGGTATGTTATACTCTACTTCTAATGAGGGAACCCCCCAAACCCTATTCTTGATTCGTAAGGCCCCTACATTACTGGGGGCCCTAGGCTTGAATAATCGAAGAGTGAATGGCCTGGAGTTGTGCCCTCCATCCATGATGCTCGCTCGCCTCCTCCAGATCCAGAGAGACAGCATCTTCATTCCCCCCATGCTCCTCGGCTTTGGTGTGCCATACTCTATTGCTGTTTTTTTTTTTTTATTTTATGTGTGTCAAACGCCTATACTAGAGTGTATTAGAATATGCTTGTAAGAAAATATTATGCTATAATCTACCATAGTTCACCAAAGGCATACTATAACCTATTCTCCCTGGTTATTTCAACGCCCAGGCTCACCTTGTCAGCTTTAGCCAGCGTCAAGGAGTTCTGGCGAAGCCTGCGCCTTGGGGACCAAATGGCTGGGTTCTTGTTAAGGGATTCAATTTAAGTTACCTGGATAGGGATCTATAGTACATAATATAGTTTCTTTATTATGGTAACTTAAACTAAATCCTTTAACAAGAGCCCAGATGACCCTTGTAAGTGGGCGCCTTACCAGGACATCCCCATGTGCCGTTTTATGGAGCCCTTATGGTCTATGTCTTTGCATGTGGTGCACTGTATTTTATTCAACTATATAAGTGAGAANNAATGCCACAGTCTGGGCCAACCATCTTTGTAGCTTTTGTTAACATGACTGTTGGGGACCAGCTTGGCATCTTAACTTCCAAACTGAATGTGGGGTTGCATGCCTATCATATAAAGTACATTACTGTACGCATGCCTGCATGGTTTCTATGTAGTGGCCTTTAATATGCATCTTATCAACATAACGGGACGACAGCATCTTCCGGCTATTGGTTTTATCAAGGATGATTGTCTCTATGTCGTGTCGTTTTGCTCATAAACTGTCATCGTGTGTTTAGGGGTATAACAAAGGGTAGTTTGGGGGGGGGGTTCTAGGTACACCCTTCTACTATGAATCCCCAACTGGTATACGAGCCTGAAGCTCTGAAGCTCTGAAACCCTAAGCCCCCTTTTTCAGGTTCCCCTAAGCCCTTTTTAGGGTTCATGTCGTCCTGAGGCAGGGATACTTCAATCTGGCGCCAACCAGCAACTCGAGTCTGCCGGAGCTTCGTGCGGGTGCCAGTAATTGGCTGAATGCAACTCCGTGGTACTTTGGGGAAGCTTAAGAGTTCCCCTTAAAGTCTTGGGGTTTAGGGTTCAGGGATTGGGGTTTTAGGGTTTAGGGGTTTAGGGTTTAGGGGCTCCTATACGCAAAATTTTTCGGGCCCCCAAATCTACAAGCCAGGTAACGAGCAGCAGCATCCGGGAAAGCATCCTGCGCATCGACTCCCAGGCAAGGGAACTGGCATCTCTGGCCACTCGCAGGAAGAGACATGGCTTCAACGTGAACCTTGTGATGCCCGTATGTGGTGATCATGACATGGAGCACTTAGACACGATGGAGCGTTCGGTGCTACAAGAAACACGGCCGTTGAACGATGTGGTCGATCTCTACATCTACGACGTCTGCTTCCGATTCTGTGAATCTGCTGCCTACGGCCTGGAGAATGATGTAGAGGTAGGTAGCGTCCTAAACCCTGTACCCTAAACACTGAACCTTAAACCCGAAACCCTATAAACCCTATAAACCCTAAACCCTAATCCCTGAACCCTAAACCCTAAAACCTAAAACCTATAAACCCTAAACCCTATAAACCCTAAACCCCAAAACCCTAAACCCAAAACCCAAAGCCCTGAGGTGGAGCTAGACCTTCGCACCGGTTCAGAACTGCCAGGTTCTGCCTTTGCACTGCGAAAACTGCCCGAGTCGCTTCTCCGAGTGGCCCGACACTTCCGTCGAACTCTTCTGGTGCCCTTTTTCGAGGAGCTGCCTAGGCGTTTAGGGTTTAGGGCTTAGGGGTTTTGGTTCAGGGTTTAGGGGTTTTGGGCTTAAGGGGTTTAGGGTTTAGGGGAACTCTTCTGGTGCCTTTTTTCGAGGAGCTGCCTACTGGCGAAGTCGCGCCGAACTTGCACCATGTCTCCAGACACTACGACGATCTCCCAGATTTTATGATGATCCTTCACCCGGACGGCTATGAGCACGTCGAGATCTTTGCCCTCGTGTCAGTGCTCAACTCCCTAGCACTGAGGCTTCCTGCGAGTTCTTACGGTTGATGATATAAATCCTGCATTACCCATCATAAGGAATATACCATAATTCCCATAGTTTAGGGGTCCTTAAGGTAGTGCAAGATATATATCATCAACAGTAGGGGAGAGTGGAGCAGGGAATAGATGGGGTCCTACTACGGATTATATAGGGACTCACAGGGATCCACTCTCCTGCTCCCCTTAACTGAGTTTCCCAATATTAAACCTTTTGGAGTCTTAGAGTTTAGTAGTAGTCGGACAGTTTAACCTTTTGTTTCTGTGGCTTGTTGGGGAAGTAAGTTAAGTACCGGTAAGGCTTTATCCCGACGTGGGCTTCTTGCACCTGGGTCGTCGCTTCAATGGGCCAGTCGACGCTTCAGGACGTGTCGGTTCTGAGATCCAGAGCTACTGTCGCATGCGCCCGCTTAAGGATCCCTCGACTCGCGCAAGAAAGCGCTCTGTTTTTCGAGGAGAATCTTGGTGGTAAGGAAAGCAATGTAGGAACCTGATTAAGAAACCCTAGCCCTATAGGAGACCCCAAAAGTGTAGGTGAACACTAGTAAAGGCCCAGGCTTTCGACATAAGGCTCCTGTATTGACCTTTGACATTAACCTTTTAGGTGCATTGCAATAGCTGTACATTAATACCTCAAAGGTGAACCCATAGCTCCCCACGCACACTGTTCAAATGAGGATTCCTTCCTGGAGCGTTACACGACAAGGGATCCGACGGGTCCATACTGTCAGTGGGTCGAGCTCGCCTGGGAACTCCTCTTTGACCGACCTCCGCAGCTGCCAGAAGACGACCTCCTGCCCCATTCTGTGAGTTTTTGTGCCTGGTTTAGGGCTACAGTCCATATTATGCGAGCTTTTGTGGGTGGTTTAGGGCTGGAATGCTGCATGACTTAGAGAACTTAGTGGGTAATTATCTTAACTTTACATTTCACACAAGACTTCTGAAACACTTGTCGAAGGATTATGGGGGCTATGACTTTGCCCAGTACATCGCAAGCCGGAAAGCTGCACGGAGCCGGCCGAAGTCGTTTTGGCAAAATGCCTGGCGCTCTCTTTGCAGCGCCAGCAACTACCAACTGCTGCTTGGAACGAAGTTTATTTCTTGGAGGGAGCTCACTTCCTCAGAAGGAGCACGGGGAGATGATTCCTTTCATAAGGGGCTGACTACGGCTTTTGAGCATCTCTACCATGTGATCTTCAATCCTGGTGCAAAGACGTGGCTCTGGCCAACGCGACTGCGCGATCCATCGCTTCCTTTGGGACTGAAGTTTGCCATGGGAGGCAATCCGACTCTTAGTTCTCTTTTATGGTTTAGGGTTTAGGAATACCCCACCTTCAATTATTGATGGGCTCTTTATTTTTTCCGTAATGTGGTAGTAATCTGAAAGTTAAAGCCCTTTTTCCTATGGGGAACTGAGGACTCTTCTCCGCCACTACCGCTGGACACCACATCAGCCACTCTAGGCTTGCGATTTGGAGATCGAGCCATCCGGAAGAGCTTGCGGTCCGGAGCCGGCTCCCACTGACGTTCGAGATGGAGGCAACTGAACCCAGAGACTCCAATATCCCTTAATTCAGGAATATACCTTAAATCATATTAGGGATCCTACTATAATTTAAGGTATATTCCTTAATTAAGGGGTATTGGAGTTTCTGGGAACTGAACTCTCCCCAACTCCTTCCGGACCGATTGAACATGTGCGTGCAGTGGGAGTCGCAGAGTCAGACGGCTGAGCTACCGGGCAGAGACGGTCCGGGCACAGCCCCTGAGCAGAGGTGAGCCGAGAAAAAAGGAGGGCGAGATCCTGGGTGTGCCTTAAGGTAGGAACCTGATCAAGAAATCTTGGCCCTATAGCCCAAATATAATCAGGGTCCTAATTTATCTACCTTTCTACATCCACCAAGACGCCGGAAGCCACAGAACGATGGACAGGTCACACCATGGAATGCCCAAACCCCCCAAACCCCAAACCCTAACCTCAATGCCCAAAGCAACTTTTGACGGGGCCAAAAACCCTAAACCCCGTAGTCTATCGTTGCAGCAAGATGTGCTCTCCTGATCTCCCGCGCTCCGTGCCGAGGTCCCTAAACCCTAAACCCGAAACCCTACATCCACACAGCAATTGGCGGATCTCCGGTCGTTTCTGGTCTTGTAGGCTCCGGCTTCTGTTCTACTCTTGGGTAGTTCTCTAAAGAAGGGTAGGGTTTTAGGGTTTAGGGCTTGGGGCTTAGGGTTTAGGCTTTTTTCGAGCTTGGGGTTTAGGGTTTAGGGCTTGGGGCTTAGGGTTTCCCTTTTTGGGGTTCCAAATTTGGTACGGCACCCTCAAAAAGAACCCAAAAAGGGACCCTAAGTTAGAGGACTACTCACTTGGGTTCTTCTCAATGGCGACATCTCGGTGTCAATCCTTCAAGCTTCTGCTCTCTAAACACCCAAGCCTAAACCCTAAACCCTAAACCTCAAACCCTAAAACCACCTGGGTCTCTGTGGGCCGGGGACTGAACGACCCAGACCTCCCTACATCCCTGAGTTACGGAATATATATATATATGTATATATA